ATCAAATTTTCTTATAAAATAGATAAATTAATAAATATCAAGAATAATAATAAATACACTAGAATATAATAATAGATATTTAAAATTAATATTAGAATATCTATTTAAACTCCCTAATTCAATTAGAAGCACCATTAGAAATAATTAAAATAGAACCTAATCGATTATCAATATATCAAAATCAAAGAAGGATAACTGGACACAATAAGAAAGAATTAAACGTATTTATGTAATTGAATAAAATTAGAACGAAAAGAAATGGAAAATAACCAAGTAACAAATAGAATATAAAAGCTACAACATTCAGTAAAAAATATAGAAAAGAAAATATGACTATATAAGCTACAACATTGTTTAGTTACAACATGCATGGAATCATTAAATTATTAGAACACATAATGATAATTGAAATAATTATAATGATAATTGATTCTAAACTTTCTTGGTTTGGTATCAAATATTCAAAAGAGGATTCTAACTAACCAATAAAAAATGATGTTTTTCATAAGTCCAGATTATTTTTTTACAATAAAAAAGTAGAGGGACCAATTATGAAATTTAGAAAATAGAATATTCCAAGAATATTCTGTTAACTTTAACGGAATGCTTTTAGGAGTAAACTTAAGTGGTACCGGGTGCACATATAATAGAGTTTAGTGGTACCCGACGCCCTATTCAAACTTAAGTGGTATGACAACCCCAATTCTCAAAGTTAAGTGGCACCCGAGATATTTTACCCACGAATTTACCCTTCCGTCAAATTGTCCGTTAAGTGGCCGTTAAAATGACTGAAAAATAACCCAATTGTACTTACTTTACTCCTAAATTAGTTTTAATTATTTTATTTATTATTTATTTGTTCCAAACAATTAATTAAAAGGAGAGCAACAAGTTGGCTCCAACCAACAACAATAGTTCTTCCACGACTCTTCCTCCTACCTCCTCTCCAAGCGGCACCCTTCTTCTTCCCCTCCTATCCGGAATCTGCCCCCAAAGAACGCTTCTCACTTTGGTCTGCTCTGATTAGTACTGGGCATGTAGGTGGTCAATTCGCGGTTTGACATCGATTCACCGGCAAATAACCCAAACTGTAGTGGGTGTCTAAATTAATAGTCTTAATAACTTACGAGGAACTTATTGTAAATGTTAGTCAACTTTCTTAATGACTAGATGGAGAATTGTTTTTGCGGGTTAACACGCAACCCAACTGCACTCATTCGTCACCCACCCAACCCAACCCGAAGAGGAATGTGGGTGGATGGCATCTCACAATTATACCAATCCGCTAGTGAGCAGGTGGGTCAATTTGAGACCAAAACCCACCCAACCGGCCCATTGTCCACCCCTAGCTCCGATTGCGACGAAATCTCTTCCTGCTCCTGTTGCGAAATCACCTCCAGTCGCACCTCCCAATCCATCAACAACAATTCCAATTAGGAAGTCGGCAACGTCGGCCCAGTCTCCTTCATGATCGAGAACGATGCTCAATCACAACCTTCCAACACTCTAAAGTGTTTGAATTCAAACAAGCCACTGCCGCAGCGAGTTCGACGTCGAGAATCAGAAGAGGGATTATTTGATCTCGAGGGTTTTCTCACTCCGTGAAGGCAATTTCACCCCGCCGTCGACGACTCGGGATTCATCGACCTAAAATTTGACTTCCCCTCGCCGCAATCAAAGCTGTCGGCCAAGGCGGCTGAGTACGGGAGCGTGATATCGGAGTACGGGATGGCGGGAGGATATGGAAACGTTGGGTCGAACGGTTTCTTGTGACTGCCGACAAGGATAAGCCGGGAGCAAGCGCCACCGATTCGATCGACGAACCGCCAGAGGAGAACAGGGCAAACAGACAGTATCTTGTGACTGCGTGTCATTTCCAAGCCTCTTTAACGATCACTTAACGGATAATTAGATGAAAGGGCAAACTCGTTACGTTTTAATATTAGAAGGATATGTTTGTGCAAAAATTTAGTAGAGGGGTACGTTTGTTAATTTGCAATAGTAGAAAGGTAGAAAATGTTGTTAACCCCCAAAAATTTAGTAGAGGAGTAATTTACGTTTGTTAATTCACGATTGGTTACTCTCTGTGACTTTCCTTTATCCTTTTCTAACATGTCAGCCAACCCTTACCGTTGACCGTTAACTAAGTTACGTTACAAATAAAAATAATAAACTTATAAAACCCACCTCATTATAACAATAAAGTAAATTAAATAAATCATAAAATTATTATAGAAACCAAAATTAAAGCCACCATTTTTTATTTTAAAAAAATATATTCGTCTTCTACCCCAATCCAAATTCCCCCATCGCTGCGTCACTCCATCTCTCTGTTCCCGTTCAGCCTCTCTCTCTCCCAGTTCAGATATACGAAAAAACCCATACCCAGATCGTCACCCATCCTCCACTGACCGCCTTCGCCCTTTTGCTCTCGCAGTGAGATTGTTGCATCCCACCATCTCTATGTTCCCGTTCTGCCTCTCTCACCCCCAATTCATATCTTCGAAAAATCCAAACCCAGATCGTCACCCATCCGTCAGAAAATTCCTCGATTGAAACCTAGTTCCTTCCCGTGCTTCCTTTGCCTATATATCATCTGCCACCGATTTGTGGAACGCCAATTGATTGTTCATCCTCGTTCAACACAAACAAATTCATATTCGTCGGCCGACGTCGCTCACCATCCTAGATCAGATCGAGTCACGATTTGGGAACATGTCGGTGTTGTGTGTTCAAGTCGGCGGGTCTCACGTATGCGGAGTGAATTCGACTGGGTTTGTGGTTTGTAGAGGAGACAATCCTCCCGGCATCTCAATGTTCCCCTGAATTCGCTGCCACTGGAGTATTCATAGTTGGCACGACGGTTCAGGGGTAATTTGCAGGCCGTTAGGGTCAATATTTCGACGGAGGCATTGCCTCTGCAGGAGCCACCACCGCCATATATTTTTCTTCTTTTTCGTCCTCTCCGGAAATCCATGTTTGGTTGTCGGCATGGAGAAGTCCGATGAAGGCATGCTCTTGGAAGGTTGTCGTATGAGATTAGAAGAAAAAAGAATTTTATTTTTATTTTTAATGAATGTAAAAACGAGGTGGAAATTTTAAATGATCAAAATTTATTGTTTTATTATTTTTAATTGTCACTTCATATATTTAACGGTCAGTTATTAGAGTTGACTGCCACATCAGAAAAGATAACAGAGAGTGACCAAACTTGAATTGTTGAACTAATTTTAGTGACCACAAATGGAATAAACTAATATTAGTGGCAAACGTAAACTTTTTTAGTAATTTTAGTGACCGAACTTGCAATTTACCCTTTGTCTGACGTAAGATTTTGCCAAATCAGAGGGGTCTGATCGACATGATATCATTATCGAGTTGAAGATAGGGCTGCAAACGAGTCGAGTCGAGTTTTTACTTGACTTGAGTTCGGCTTGTTTATAAATGTTTCAGCTCGAGCTAGGTTCCAACTCGAATTTTGATAATCTATCTCGAACTCGACTCGACGAAAAATAATCCAACTCGAGCTCGAGGCTCGTGCTCGACCCGATTAAAAAATAATCCATCTCAAACTTGAGCTCGAAAAATGCTCATTAACATAGTAGATTGAATCTGTCAACAAAAATAAATACGTCAACCATCATTAAAAAAATGCACTACAATCATTGCTAGCAGCATGTCCCAACCCACTACTACCAAAACGCTCGAGGTGGATAATGGGACAGGATGAGATATCCGTCCCGTTTGAAATGGGTACTCATTCTCATTTCGACAGCAAAGTCTATCGCATGTCCCAAATCCATAAGGATTGGCGGGTACCCAAACTACCCGTACATTCCCATCATATTGGATCAAAGATGGACTGATTTGACATCTTCTGATTGACGGCCACATCACAAAAACATTTACAACTCACCTTAACTAACGAAAATATAAAGGGGCTTAAACAATTGGATATTGTTTTGTATTTCAAAAAGTTTGACTTATATTTTGTTAAAAAAATATTTAGCTAATAAATTGAACTATACTTACGGGATGACATGCTAGTATTTTTACTAATAAATTTCCTACTAAATAGTGGTACTAAGAAAAAATTAAATGTGTAACTTAAGAACGGATTCTTACTTCAAATAAACAAGACTAAAAAATACATCCCCTAAATACATATAAGGAGGTTCTTTATCACAACCCCTTTAATTCCATTTTTCGTGGCTCCTACGCAAACCACGGCAGGGTCATTTTTGGACTTTTTAGCTTTTATATTAATAGGTTTGGGTATATATTTCCATCCATGCGGTTCCATCCAAGAGGCGGGGCAAAAAATAAATAGAGGCATGAACCATAATTATTGTTGTACTAAAAATCTAATATTACGCAGCACATAGAACTTTGTCAAAATTTCCTTCCTACAAATCCCAAGTCTTTTCCGTCCAAGCTAGCACTAACGGTATTGTTCTTCGGTCCAATTATTATTACAAGGGTTGGGTTTATCTGTTGCATCATCATATCACGACATAGTGATATCACGACATACATTGATACATCGTATCATCGTATTACAATATCATGATACGATAATACGATCGGGTTTTGCAAATTGAGATTTGTACCCTATTCGCTCTCTTATTATGATTATGTATTACGGCCTATGAAAGCAACAAAGAGGAGCAACTAACCTTCTGTTTTTCTGTTCCAGAGCCCTTTCTCTCATGGGTGGAGTCATAATTTGGTATTCGGCGGGCATAATTTTATTACGGGTAATTATCATAAATGGTAACAAAACTATTCACTTTGTACAAAACGGTCACAATTCTTCAATTTTGCACGTTTCAATAACACAAATTTGAGTGAATAACGAATTGGTCAATCCGTCTACTTCCGCCCAATGGTCCGTTACTTTTTGCCCAATCAACATGACACGTCATTAAAAATATTAATAAAAAATTAATTACTCACCCAATTAACCTACACAACCCAACCGGTTGTACCCTAATACCCACCCCCCTTCCATCCGCGTGAAGAAGCCGAAGCAAAACCCTATAGTCTCCGTCTCTCCGATGTCGTCTCCTTCCTAAGGCACCACCGCTTCAAATCTCGATGGAGCCATCCCCCATCCCTCCTCTCTTCTAGCCAGGACCGACTCTCTTCTCCTCACTTCTCCCAGATTTCCCTCCTGTTCAAATCGAATCCTCATCTTGCCCTCAGTTTCTTTGATTTTAGCCGCCGGAACTCCTTCCTCTGCCTTCATGACATGTACTCTTTCGAGGTAAGGCGGCACAACATAACCTTGAAATTCACTCCACTGATCTCCACAGCTCCCATGGATCCTGTAACCTCCGTCCACCAAATCTGCCTCTTCTCCGACTTGTACTGGTTGGCAATCGTCCCTTTATCTTCCACCTCCCTGCATACGCACCGGATACACCATCATTAAATTTTAATAAAAGTTAAAGGAAGATGGTTCTTGATAATGAAGACAAAAATTAATTACCTCAAGAAGAACTTCTCCCAGCCGCTGTAACCTTTGAGCGAGGAGATTAATGGCAGAAGCACTGGAAGAAAGATCAGTAAAGTGGCGTTTGCTTCTGCTACTGCACACGGATGGAAGGGGTGGGTATTAGGTACAACCGGTTGGGTTGTGCGGGTTAATTGGGTGAGTAATTAATTTTTTATTAATATTTTTAATGACGTGTCATGCTGAGCGGACAAAAGTAACAGAATTTTGGACGGAAGTGGACGGATTGACCAATTCGTTATTCACTCAAACTTGTGTTATTGAAACGTGCAAAATTAAAGAATTATTACCGTTTTGTACAAAGTGAACAGTTTTATTACCATTTATGATAACTACCCATTTTATTACTCTGTTACCATAAAATGACAATAATTCTTTTGACCATGTGTTATGCCAAACATACATGAGAAAATTATTACGTTGAAAATACAAGTCATACATTACGTGTGATGTATTTTTTCAGCACTTTTATAACTAAAAATAAATATACCTCAATACTTGATAAAAGAGTAATTTAGTTACTATATGGAGCTAATATATCTTTAAGATATGAATTTGAAAGCTAAAACCTTAATTAAGATAATATGAAATTAGCGGACTGGAAAAACAAAATAAAAACCAATAATAATTGAAGCTCTTTTCAGCCACAAGCACAACAATGTAAAAAGAGTATAACATTACTCCAATGTAAATAAATAATTGTAGGCCTTTTCAGCCACAGCATTGTATTTTATTTTTCTTCATTTTTTGTTTTAAAATTTACATCAAATGCATATCTTATATTAAATTTATAATTTTATTGATGTTGTTCAAAATTTTAACATTTAAAATTCATCTTATAAATGTGAATATTGTGTAGTAATGATGTGGAAGGGGGAAAGTATCAAACGCACAAGGAATTACAATCAATCAAAGTTTTCATCGTGCTACATAAAGACAAGGCAAAGTGAACCTCTCTCCTCGGATGCATCCTCCAGAGGTTTTGAATATGATATTGCACGCAAATACTTCTACATGACATCACTTTTTGGAACATATTTGAAGCTATAATGGGGTCTTCGCATTAACTTTTATTGGGGGTAAAATGGATCGGTCTATAAATGATATGAACGTGAAGTATACGTTTATTCGACTCGAGGTCAAGTTAATCATCAAACCGATAGTCTGATATATATCTACTAAAAGGAACAAACCAAAATTTGCTCAACTCTACATCTATAACACTCGCAATAAACTCCAAAATCAATTAGTTTTTTCACCACATGTAAGTGAGGTCCTTGCTTTCATTATTGATGATACTGGGGACCAAACATTTTTTACTGATATTGTTGCCCAACATCAAAGTCATTAAGTGGTACAAATTCGTATATATAATCCAACTGTAATGACTTTGCAATATTTCATATTTCCACATGGAGAGGATCGATGACACCCAAAATATTCCATATTCTAGCTATGAGGATATTGAAGGACTCGATGAAGAATATGACCTAATTTGATTTTTACAGTATAGACGGTAAATAAGTTATGTGGAAAGTTGTTCCAACAAATATGTTGTTAATGCATGTGCATTGGTTGATGCTAAGCGGTTGGATTAGACTAAAGACAATCAAACAAAGGCGTGGTAACGTTACTACCAAGGTCTTTTGGGTACTTACTTGAGAGGTAATTCAGATACCAGTTTGAGTGAAAAACATGCGATTTTAGATTCATCGTATACACGTAGTCCCCGATATAAGTATGAAAACTTCTAAAATTTTATGGTAATTTGTAGATGGGTCGGTAATCTAGATATGTTCATCACATTTACATGTAATCTTGATTGATTTGATAAGGAATACTACTAGAAAATATCCTAAAAGACTTGATGTACCCGCAAGAGTTTTCAAGCTGAAGCAAAATGAATTGTTGAAAGAGATTTTGGAGAAGAAAGTTTTGGGGGAAACATGCGCATGTAAGTTATATTCCATAGTTATTATGTAAATATTGATATATGGATGACCATTGTCATTACCACATTAGATGCTCACTTGGGAGTTACATGTAAACCCTAGTCCTACATTATTATCTCTCATTCATATGCATTGATATAAGGATGTAGTGGTTACCAAAACGTGCACATAAATAGAGCATATTATTGTATCAAAAGTGAAGAATGAATAAGAAAGCTCACTTCCCCCTATCTTCTTTGTGTCTTTCCCTCTCTAATCTCTCTTGTAGTTGTTTATATTACATTAGTTTCATAACACGTTATCAGCACGAAGCTCTGCCAAAATTATCATTGGTCTAATACTTTCGACATAATCTAAGATATTGGAGTAAGATCACAATATGATCAAGGTATGTAAATCTCATCTCCTTTCTTATCTTATTGTCTTATTTGTGTTGAGAATATCTCTTTCCAATATATCAAGATGGGTGCTACTCTTTTCTCGTAGTAGACCATACATTGATATTTTATCACGTACATCTATTTGGATTAACAAGAAAAGTAATATAAATGATGAGTTAATTTCTCAGTTCTTCGTGTTATCCTATTCTTATCAATTATACATTGATATTTAGAAAATGCAAGTTCCAAGAGCCCATATATTCCCCAGAAGTGGAAATTGAAGAATCCAATGGCAAAGAAAGAAGTGGACATGGTAATAAGAATATTGGTTTTGTATGTTACCATTGTAATGGAAAAGTGCGTTTGTCTCGTACCCGTTGTACGCAAAAGACTTTATTCTACCAAGAATCAAAGAGAAGAGCAAATTTAAATCTCATGCAATATCAATATTATGGAATATATTTTTTGTAATATAAGTTGGTATATTCTCCATTAAAGATGAAAATGATATTGCACTTGAGACATTTTCATTCCCAGAAGTGAATGAAACAATCTATTCCCCAAAGTGAATGTCATTTGGCGTAGCGGAAATAGTGTGGAAATATGACTCCTTGGATACAGGTTCAAATCCCAAAGGCATATATAAATTTAAAATCACCTAGTTAGTGATGGTATTGTTCCAAATAAAGCTTATTTAAATTTTCACAATTGTAGTATTATGATTCTTATTTTCTATTATGTTTTATTGTGCCATTATTTTCATGCATAATTTAACTTGATAACTTTTATCTAGAACGATTAACTTGATAAGTTCATCATTTTTGTCTTAAGTTTGAAATATTCTCATTTATTATTTTAGTATGTTTTTGTAAAGTATGATTGTTAGAAAATTTCCATATAAACTATATGGTAGAGTACATAAATGAGAAAAAGCTTCCGAAGAGCTTATGTTTGGTTACTTGAAGTAACTAAATTATGTACTCGTGATAACAATTTGTGATGATATTCACTATGAATTTGTGTTTACTAAGAATGCATCAAATCATAAGTCCCCGGAAGGGCGAAATATGGTACAAAATATGGTAAAGTTCTAAAAGAGCTAATGTTTTGTGGTTTGAAGGACCCAAACTGCCTAGTGATGATGCATTACCCAATTAAAAGGATATTTGTAAAATGAATATCTTATCAAGAAAATAGTAAAACTAATATTTGCATCACAAAATGAATATCTTACAAGATTTGATAACTTGATAATTGATTGGTCCGGTTAGACCATCCCGGATCTTGATGTGAAAAAAAAGTTCTTTGAGAATTCATGAGAGCATCATATGAGAAGTCAAAGAACTCTTCAAGTAAAAGAGTTATTATGTCATGTTTGTTCTCAAGGAGAATAGAATAATTGATCATCGCTTGTATAAGAGTTGACAAATCTCTTGAGATTTTATGGACGTGTATGCAGAACAATACATCAGTCATGTGGATCATTTGTGAATTTTATGGGTTGCTGCATCAAATGGATGATCACATGTATTTTATCTAATCGCAACCCGATGTTTGCGAGATTGGTTGCCTCACTATGGATACATTTTGATGATTATCCAATCAAACATCACTTTGCTTAATAGAACAAGCCGAGCCTTCTGGTCTCTTGTCGAGGACATGCTAGCTGACAAGTGATAGTATTGGTTCACATATAACCAACAAGTTATCATAAGTTCCCCCCTTTTTACAAATGGTTTTTGTAAGAAACCTAACATTTCTCATATGAGAATATCAGGGTGTGCCGCATACATCCCAATTGCTCCACCACAGTATCTTAAGTTGATTCTCGTTGGAAATTGAGAATTTGTGTTGGGTATGAATCCCAAATGGGAAATTTGTTTGCGAAATTATTGTTTTGATGGATTACTTTTCCAACATTAAACGGGAGAGAAAAAAAAAGCTAGACAAAGAGATGAGTTGGAATGAGTTATCATTATCTAGTTTTGATCCTCAAATTAAGAAATATGAACCTGAAGTTCATAAGATGAATTATCATTACCAACTATCAAATGTCTTTACTGACCATACAAAGTGTCCAAGTCATATATACTAGCTGTGAACGCTCCAACTAAATTTGATATCCTTGTTGGATACTCTAATATAAAAAAATGTGTCTAAAAGAGCGCATGAAGCGTGATAGACCAATCGGTTCCAACGATAAACATCCTCGAGAAAAAAAAGGAGCTGTGATTAGAATGGTCAACTCGAGGACATGAAAACTCAAGAAGAGTAACCAAGAATTAAGTATAATTTTAGTTCCAGAAGAACACATGTCTCTGAAAGTTGTGAAAGTGAAGAGATCTCAAAAACATATTAGACTACAATACTGGGACCGTAATGAAATCATTGTCGATGAAATTTGTTTGTTGTACTTCAGTACTGAATATGATATGTACAAGTGAGGATCAAGAGTAAAACTCTATTGATGCATGCAAATGATAATGTTATTGGCCAATATAGAAAGAAATCATGAAACGTGCTCAAGGAGCATAAAATTTTAAGGACCAGAAGTCCTTGCACCTAAAAAGGGGCAAAAATAGCCGGATACAAACAAATTTTTGTGCTATTGGAAAGTATGAAATTGTGAGATATATCACATAATGTTTGCAATGGGTTTCTCGAAGAGACCTATCATTGTTTAGGAGGAGTTATACTCCCCTGTGGTGGATGCAACTACTTTTTCAAATC